CCCACTGCAGCAGGGAGAGGTGGCACTGTCCTGTGGGTCTGCTAAGCTGCTCCTGGAGGCCGTCTCTAGGGCAGGATGCTCAGTTGCGCTCCGTTCTTCTGTTTCAGATCAAAGTGCAGCAGGTGGCACTGGAAATGCAGCTGACCCCCTTCCTCATCCTCCTCCGCAAGACGCTCGAGCACCTGCAGGAGAAAGACACGGGCAACATCTTCAGTGAGCCGGTCCCTCTGTCTGAGGTAACAGAAATCTACGAAGTAAGAACCCCCTCCCCCAGATTTCTACTTCACTCACACTTGTCCCTTGCTCACGCTAAGGGCTGCCCATGGGGGTTTCTGCTCCAGAAGCCCTCTGGGCAGCCTGCTGATGGTTCCCAGTCCCAACACCACACACTCAACGGGGATGTGTGCAGCACTGCCTGTCCTGGGAGAGCCAAATGCACAGCAGAAGGGGTGGTGCTGGCAGCTGCTGGTGGCCAGGAGCGCAGCACTCAGCTCCTCTGCTTGTGTTACTGGTGATTTCCCACTGTCTGTGACAGGTTAGGGGCTTCTGCCTGGGAAAGGCAGAATGCCTGCACTCAGCCTCAGGCAGGTGGCGTGCTCTTACATGTCCTCCTGCAAAACCCTTTGCTTGGTAACAGGCTGAGCACAGCACAGAAATGTCACTTCTGGGGGCAAAGGAGGTGATTTCTGAGAACATCAGTGGTGATTCCCTGCCTGGGGAGATGGGAGAGGGAGTGCAAGTGCTGTGCAGCTCTGGCAGCAGGTGGGCTTGGAAGTGTCCTGGCTGTGTGGTCCCACCCACAGCCATTGCTCCCACCCAGAGCAGTCTGTTCTATGTGTGTGTACTTACCCTCACCCCTGAGAAGCTGCACAAAAATGTTTCAAAGCATGTGTTGGCTCTAATAGATTGAGTACAGCACATGGACTCTAGTCCAGAGGCATTCCACAGCTCCTCTAGCTGCAAAGGCGGGCAGCTTTCCAGATGTGCGTTTGGACAGGGCACTGGGGAGCAATACCTGATTCCTCTAACAACTGTTTTCTTGGAGCAGGTGGTACTAACAGGGGTCTCCAGGCTCTTTAGCACGGGCTCTTTTCTCAATACAGGTCCCAGACTACCTGGATCACATCAAGAAGCCGATGGATTTTCAGACAATGAAGCAAAACCTGGAAGCGTACCGTTACCTGAATTTTGATGACTTTGAGGAAGATTTCAACCTGATCATCAACAACTGTTTGAAGTACAATGCCAAAGACACTATCTTCTACCGGGCAGCCGTCCGTCTGCGGGAGCAGGGAGGCGTGGTTCTGCGGCAGGCTCGCCGGCAGGCGGAGAAGATGGGCATTGACTTTGAGACAGGCATGCATTTCCCACACTGCGTGACTGTAGAAGAGGCTCAGGTCCAGGACATCGAGGATGGTGGGTGTTTGTCCCCTGTCCTCGTGTAGGAGAGCTGCTCAGAGCTTAAGTCCCAACAGTTGGGCAACTTAAGGCTGTTCTTGCTGCCTCCTGCTGGGCAGTGGGGGATGCCACCAGGAGTAACTTGCCTGAGAAGGGTCCTTTTGGGGTCCTGCATGTGAAGGGCTGAAGGCGCAGTAGAAGGGTTCAGGCAGTAGAACTTCCCTACGCTTGGATGCTTCAGGGTCAGCTCATGTATGTCTGCTGTATCCTTCCTGTTACTAACCCCTTTCTTTTTTATTGCTGTATCTTGCCTCAGCTGATGGGAATCCTTAGCATTCCCTGTGCTGCAGATCAGCCTGCCTTCCCCAGCAGTCCCAACTAGCTTGCTTTCCACAGGGCTCTTTCTCAGACTGTCTTTTGCTAACATTCTGTGCTCGTGGGTGTTTGGTACTGTGTAAGTTATTTTCCTCCTGAGGGGAAGTCCCATGCCCTTCTGTGTAAAGGGTCTCCAAAAAGTTTCTGATTCCTTTCATCCTCTTTGTGCCCTCAGAAGACATGCGACTGCTGCTCTCGGAAAATCAGAAGCACCTGCCCCTGGAGGAGCAGCTGAAGATCTTGCTGGAGCGGCTGGACGAGGTCAATGCTGGCAAGCAGAGCATAGGACGATCCCGCCGGGCCAAGATGATCAAGAAGGAGATCACAGTCCTGCGGCGGAAGCTGGCACATCCCCGGGACCTGGGCCGAGATGGGCTGGAGCGGCACAGCTCCTCTGCCAGGGGGGTCCTGCAGTCGCACAACCCCTGTGAGAAGGACCTTCAGACAGACAGTGCTGCTGAGGAGAGCAGCAGCCAGGAGACCGGCAAAGGTACTGCTCCAAAATGCTGCTGTTTGCTGGGAAATGGCAGAGAACCACACCTGGACAGGCTGTGTAGTAGAGCTAAGGCAGGGGGGCCATGCACACAAGCCTCACCCATAGCAACTCCTTAGGATCAAGGCAGGTGGTCTGTCTGGAGGATTCCCTCATCTCCCACCACTTCCCTTGCTGCTCACTTTCCCTGGGCTGACTGCTTACTTGCAGCAGGGATGGCCACGCTCCAAATGCCCTGCAGGGGCTGGGAGCGAAGTACGTGCCAGCTGCAAGCTGCCTGGTGCTGGGAGCTGATGGGAGCAGGTGCTGAGCCATGCTCCTCAGAAAGCACAGCTCAGTTGCCACCTTGCAGAGTCCCTAGGCAGAGCTGGCAGGTGTCACTGAGGTTTGTCACCTTGGCACCCTGTTCCCCTAAGACCTGAAAAAGCAGGCTCTCATGCAAGCAGAGAGCATTTAGGATCATTGGTTTTCGAGGTTGCAGTGGAGCTCTGAGAGATGAAACTGTTCCTTTCTGCCACTGCCATCCCTTCCCTGACAGGTCCTGCAGGCTGTGGCTGATGCCTTTTCATCCCTCCTCCAGGTCTGGGTCCCAATTCTTCTTCCACTCCAGCACACGAAGTGGGCAGGAGGACCTCGGTGCTCTTCTCCAAGAAGAACCCTAAAACTGCAGGACCTCCGAAACGTCCAGGACGTCCCCCCAAGAATCGAGACAGCCAGATAGCTCCTGGGCATGGGAACAGTCCCATAGGCCCCCCGCAGCTCCCCATTATGGGGTCCTCCCAGCGGCAGAGGAAGCGGGGGCGAAGCCCACGGCCCAGCTCCAGCTCCGATAGCGACAGCGACAAATCCACCGAAGACGCTCCCATGGGTGAGTGCGGAGCCACAGCCCTGCAGGAAGCACAGCAAGGGCACCGTGCCCTCCTAATGCTCCTCTGTTGTTTGTTATCTGCAGACCTGCCGGCCAATGGCTTTAGCAGTGGGAACCAGCCAGTGAAGAAGAGCTTCCTGGTGTACCGCAACGACTGTAACCTTCCACGCAGCAGCTCCGATTCCGAGTCCAGCAGCAGCAGCAGCAGCAGTGCTGCCTCAGACCGTACCAGGTACGTACCACCTGCCTCTGGTTGTGCCACTGCTGCGGGCATCTGCTGGGTGAGGTGTGTTACTGTGCCTCTCCCTTTCACTCTCCTGTTGGCCTAACTCCTGTTGGTGCTGCTAACCCAGTGCTAGAGGGCTGCAGGCCTGGCTGTAGGATTTGTGCTTTTTTGTGCTCTGTAGCATGCTTGGGTGAGCGTACACTCGCAGGTGAGGCAGGGCTAAGGGTTCTGGGCAGAAACACCATCTGGTCGGCCTTTTGTATGCCTGCTGAGTACCTGGTGCTGGGTGGGCTCAGAAAGCTTACAGATGGCACTCAGAAAGCAGTTTCTGGAAGTGTGACTGCTGCTCACAGCTCTGCTCCCTCTCTCAGCACAACGCCCTCAAAGCAGGGCAGGGGGAAGCCCTCCTTCTCCCGCGTGAACTTCCCTGAGGACAGCAGTGAGGACACATCAGGAACAGAGAACGAATCCTACTCTGTGGGTGCCGGGCGAGGCGTGGGGCACAGCAGTAAGTGTCACAACCTTCCAGCTGCACACCTGCCTGTTCTATCAGCCGCAAGGGCCTTGTCTGAGTCCTCTCTCCCCCTTGTCTTGATGCAGTGGTGCGGAAGGGCATTGGCCGTGGTGCAGGGTGGCTCTCTGAGGATGAGGATTCTTCCCTGGACGCTTTGGATCTGGTGTGGGCCAAGTGCCGGGGCTACCCCTCCTATCCGGCACTGGTGAGTTTGGCCACCTATGTGCATCTCCCAGAATCCCATCCCAGTGCCAGGGATGGTCTTGGTGCCGTCAGCGGGGTGAGAGGCGGGCTCACAGTTCCTGGTACTGGAGGAACGGGGCTGTGGCCGGGTTGTGGTTTTGTCCCCTGCCTCAGTATTGGCCCCTCCTCCCCGGCAGATCATCGACCCCAAGATGCCGCGAGAGGGCATGTTCCACCACGGCGTCCCCATCCCTGTGCCGCCGCTGGAGGTGCTGAAGCTGGGCGAGCAGATGACTCAGGAAGCGCGCGAGCACCTCTACCTCGTCCTCTTCTTTGACAACAAGCGCACTTGGTGAGGCCTGGGGGGGTCGGGGAGGAGCTGGGAAACCTGCGGTGCCGCTGGGGGGAGCGCGCAGCCGCCCGTAACCCTCAAACGAGGTGGCTCCCCGCTCCCCGCAGGCAGTGGCTGCCCCGCACCAAGCTGGTGCCGCTGGGCGTCAACCAGGACCTGGACAAGGAGAAGATGCTGGAGGGCCGCAAGTCCAACATCCGCAAGTCGGTGCAGATCGCCTACCACCGCGCCATGCAGCACCGCAACAAGGTGCAGGGCGAGCAGAGCAGCGACTCCAGCGAGAGCGACTGACGCACCGCGGCACCGGGCCCGCTGCAGCTGGCCTGCGGCCTGGGGGGGCTCCCCCCGCCTTCCCGGTGCCCCCAGAGCTGTAAATACTGTACAGCCCTGCCCTTTAAATTATTCCCCCCGGGAGGGGGGGGGGCGGCCCCGGGAACGGAACGGGGGCGGCGGCCCCGCGCTCGGACGTGTTTGTATTTATTTTGGAGGAAAAAAAAAAATCTATTGGTTCGTACGCAGCCGCCCTCCCCGCCACCGCCGTAACGGGAGTCGGGCGGAGGGAGGGACGAGGGTACTTCCGGGGTTGGGCCAGCGAGAGGCCGGAAGTGGGCCAGAGCGGCGCCAAAAAAGCGGGAAGCGGCGCTCTGCGTGCCTGGGTGGGGGGAGCTCTATGGTGGCGGCGGTGGCTGGGGGTGCTGGACGGGGCGGGGAGCGGGCTTTGGGGCGGCGTGGGGATGGGAGGGGGGAGAGGATATGGGGGGTACGTGGGGTGTGCGATGGGGGCGGGGATGGATGGGGCTGGGGGTGCAGAGCAGGGTGCTGCGGAGCATTGTGGGACAAGTGGGCACCCGCAGGAGTCCTCACCTGAGCTGAGCGTGCCGTGGGTGCAGGTGGGTGGCATGGTGTGAGAGTGCAGCCTGAGCCTATTGCCTCTGCGGGGCCGCAGCCCCATGGCACTGCGGGATGCCCCTTCGGCCTGCCCAGCCCTGTGGCGGTGGCTGCGCTGCCCTTCAGCTGAGCTGCGCCTGGATCTGGTGCTGGCGTCAGGGCAGGCCTTCCGGTGAGACAGCAGGGCCTTCCTGTCAGACGGCGGGGCCGTATGAGGCCATTCGGCGTAGCCTGATGCCTGGTGCATGGCAGGTGGCGGGAGAGCAGCCCTGGTGCATGGACAGGAGTGCTGGGTGACCGCGTGTGGACGCTGCGCCAGGAGCGGGACCGCCTGTGGTACACGGTGTATGGCAAGGAGACGCCTGGCCCCGAAACTGACCGGATCCTGAGGGATTACTTCCAGCTGGACGTGGGGCTGGCGGCCCTGTACCGCACCTGGGGGGCGGCCGACCCCCTCTTCTGCCAGACAGCCACTGCCTTCCCAGGTGGGGCAGCCCCATGGGGTGATGGCAGCACCCACCTGCTGGGCCCCACTGACCCGTGGTGCCGCAGGGGTGCGGGTGTTGCGGCAGGACCCTGTGGAATGCCTGCTGTCCTTCATCTGCACCTCCAACAACCATGTGGCCCGCATCACCACCATGATCGAGCGCCTCTGCCAGGCCTTTGGCCAACAGCTCTGCTCGCTGAATGAGAAGCCTTTCCACGCCTTCCCCTCCCTGGCAGCGCTGGCAGGTTGGCAGCCATCCTTTTGTCCCCACATCTGTCCCCACGTCCCCATTCCACGGCTGTCCTCCCACAGGCCCTGAAGCGGAGGCCAAGTTGCGGACGCTGGGCTTTGGCTATCGGGCTCGCTTTGTCAGCGGCACAGCACGCGCCATCGCCGAGGGAATGGGTGCCGAGGGGCTGTGCCAGCTGCGGGCCGTGCCCTATGCTGAGGCCAGGAGGGTGCTGTGTGCCCTGCCGGGAGTGGGGGCAAAGGTGGGTGATGGCATGGGGATGGGGACAGGGTGATGGCAGGGCTGATTGTGCATCATGTGGCAGGTGGCTGACTGTGTGTGCCTGATGGCCCTGGACAAGGCAGAGGCAGTGCCAGTAGACACCCATGTGTGGAACATTGCCCGGCAGCGCTATGGGGCAGCGCTGGGTGCCCGCTCCCTGACTGCCCGTGTGCACCAGGAGATTGGTGAGGGCACAAGCTGACACCCACAGCTTGGTGGTGCAAGGGCTGAGCCCCCATTGCTGGCTCTGATCTCTCCACAGGTGACTTCTTCCGTGAACTGTGGGGGCCCTATGCGGGCTGGGCGCAGGCGGTGAGTACCAACCTCCCCCCCACACACACCCGGTTGTCCCTCCCAGTTGTGCTCACCCAGCACCTCTCATTCCCCCCCACAGGTCCTCTTCTGCGCTGACCTCCGCAAGGACCGGGACAGTCGAAGCCAGGCCAGGAGGGGCCGCAGCCAGGCAAGCCATGGGGCTGGGTGCTCCTAGGGAAGGGGGCACAGGGGGATCTGAGAGCAGAGTTTGTCTGTCTCCTGCCCACTGCGTGCTGGCCCCTGGGGGACGAGCCAAGCCAGACACTGTTTGTCTATTTCCTTTATTACAAGGAATAAAATAGAAATGTCCATTTGGAAAATTCTCTTTTAACATGCTGGGGGGCAGATGTAGGAAGGAGGGAGGAGGGAGCTGGGCTGCAGCCCCCATTGGCTGGTATGGGGGGGCTCCTGGGGGCTTCCCACGCAGACTCCACAGCCGTGGGGCTCACTCCAGGAGATGGTGAGAAGCGGGGCAGGTTGCCCTCCCTTACTACCGCTCCCCCCCCAAGCAGATGGGGAGCAGATGGGGAGGCAGCAGGACCCCCATGGACCCACCCCATACCCTGTGTTGTGCCCAGGGGATCTCAAGACCCCCTCAGTCAGGGGGCAGGCGGGGGGTTCTGTTTGCTGGCACCCGCTCACAGTCCAACCCTGCTTTGTGGGGAGGAATGTGGGGTGAGAGCCTGGCAGCATCCCTGGACCCATGAAGGTGCAGAATGGCACAGAGCGGGGATCAGGGCTCACCGCTGTTGGAGCCCCCCCCCAACCACTGGCCATGGCAGGGGCTGCTTGGTGTCATCTGCCCGGGGCCCTCCTGGCTCGTTCCCAGCTGCAGCTTCCGCATGTGTCGCACCACAGCCGTGGCGTTGAAGGCTTGCTGGCAGGCACACTGCCTTGTCACTGTGCTGCCCCCAGCACTGCCGTGGCCCACCCAAAGCCCTGTGCTCACCTTCCACTTGCTCTTAGCAAAGTTCTTCTTGATCTGCTCGCTCACTGACTGGTGGATGTTCTTGTCCAGGGCTGTGTCCCCAGCGATCCTAGAATGAAGGAATCAGTTTAGTGGGGCAACCCTTTCCCATTTATTTGCCTCCCAGGAGGAGTGCCCCCATCCCTTACCAGGGGTGCTGTAGAGCCTGCTCGCACGTGAAGCGCTTGTCAGGGTCCTTTTCCATCAGATGTCTGATGAAGTCTTTGGCTGAGAGAAGAGGGCAGCTGTGAGCCCCTACCCTATGAGGACCCTCCCCCAAAACAGCTGACCCCCAGGGTTCACCTGACTCCGAGATGTCGTCCCAGTAGGGTGAGTCGAACTCGTACTCAGCCCGCAGGATCTGCTCAAAAAGCTTGGCATCGTTCTCATCATAGAAGGGGGGGTACCCACAGAGCCTGGTAGGTGTGGAGGACAGGGTGGAGGTCACTCACAGTGTCCCCTGTGCAGCCACAGCGTGTGGAAGGGGAATACTTACAGGATGTAGGCGATGACCCCGATGGACCAGCAATCCACTGCCTTGCTGTAGGGCTTTTGTGCCAGTACCTCAGGGGCTGCAGGGACAGCACAGTGAGGGGGACCTAGTGCTGTAGCACGGGGAGAACTGCCCACAGGCCAACAGGCCCCCCAGGCTCACCCACGTAGCCGGGTGTCCCACAGGCAGTGGACATGACACTGCCACAGCCCTCGATCTTGGAAAGCCCAAAGTCGCTGATCATGATCTTGGAGTCCTCCTCCAGGCTGTAGTACAGCAGGTTCTCAGGCTGCAGGAGGGCTGATGTCAGAAAACCCCCAGTTTTGATCTCCGTGCCCCCCCCGTCCCTGCGCCGCTCACCTTCAGGTCGCGGTGCACGATGCCCATGTCGTGCAGGTAGCGCACAGCATCCAGGATCTGCCGGATCAGCGTGCTGGCATCGCGCTCGGTGTAGAAACCCTTCTCTACGATGCGGTCAAAGAGTTCCCCTCCCGACACCCTTCAAGGGCCACACAACGCTATCAGCCCTTCCTCGTAGGGGCGGTCCCTATCCAGTAGCCCCCCCAACGTGTCACTCACAGCTGCATGATGAGGTAGAGGTGGCTGCTGCTCTCGTAGATGTCGTCCAAGGCCACAATATTGGGGTGCTTGATCCTACATGGTGGGGTGAGAAGGGCTGGGATCAGCCCCCCCAGCTGACAGCAGGGCAGAGAGCAGCAGCACCACGTGCCGGGCTATTTAGGGCCGTGCTGATAACACCCGGTGCTGGGTGCTGGCAGTGGGGCCACGCTAGGGTGGGAGCATCACAGGACCCCCCTGCCCCCATCCCAGAGCAGCCCCCCTACTTGTGCAGGACGGCAATCTCATTCTCAATGCCGGCCTCCTTCCCCTCCAGCGCCTTCTTGGCGATGCACTTGATGGCCACCAGCTTCTGGGTTGCCCTCTCCTCTGCCAGCACCACCTCAGAGAAAGCCCCCCTGGAAGAGGGGGAGCAGTGTGAACCGGGGGGGCACTGCTATGCCACTATTGCTATGGTGACAAGCGGAAAGTTGGGCTATTTATAGGGGAATGGTGAGCGGGAGGGGACGGCGGGGCCGTGGGACACAGGCAGTGCCACTGCTGGGGGGCACGCGGTTCACCCCAGGGACACGTGGCTCTGTGGGGTGGCAGCGCCCAGGTGGGGCAGGTGGAGGACAGCCCGGTCCTAAGCCCTGCTGTAATTAACCCGGTAATCCGCCCTAAGAGCCTTACGGAGCTTCAGCAGCACCGGGCCCCGCCACGCGGTGCCACCGGGTCCCACCGGGACCACTGCGGCCAACGCGGTGCGGGCAGTGCCACGTCCCTGCGCGTCCCCGCGCCCCGCGTGTGCCCGATCCCCCGCGAGTCCCGACGTCCCCGGCCTATCTGTGTGCGTGCCGCCCCGCAGGGCCCCCGCCCTGGGCCAATATTTGAGCTGGCCCAGTTCCACGCAGCGCCGTTGGCCAGAAGATGCCACGGGGATGGCAGCCATCCCGCAGCCGGTGCCGCCCGTCCCGTGCCCGGTGCCACCTGCGACTCACGTGCCCAGGACCTCTCGGAAGTCGTAGATGCGGCGAATGTCCTCGGTCCTCTTCTTCCAGCCGGGCGCGGGGTGTCCCAGCGGCATGGTGGTCCTGCGGCCGCGGGCTGCGCCTTGGGGGGGACAGGGACGGGGCGTCAGCGCGGCAGCGGAATGCCGCATCCGTGGGGCCACGGGCGGGGGACGGCGAGGCGACGGGATGGGGCTGTCGGGACGTAGCCCCGGCTGACGGAGGGGACGGGTGGCGGGGACGTGGGGACGCCGTGCTGCGGGGATACCGGGCCGCCGCAGCCCCCCCGTGCCCACTCCACGCGTGACACAGCCCCGCCGCGGGCACGGCCCGCGTAGCTCTGGCAGCGGGGAGCCCCGCACATGGCACCGAGCCGCGGGGTCGCGCACCCTACGACCGCGAGTGGGCGCGGCCGTTACCCCCGCGTGGGCCCCGCCCCGCCGCGCCCCGCCCGCTCTTACCGACGGTTGCGGCGGCCCCGGCCCCGCGCGGAGCAGCGGCGACTCCTCCTGGCGCGGCACCGCCGGACAGCGCTGACGTCACGGCGGGGGGCGGGACCTGCCCGCCTCTCAGCCAATGGGGGGCGCGGGCGGCGAGTGCCCACGCGTGACCGCGGGCCGCGGAGGGGCAGTGAATGACGGGGGCGCGCGAGGGGCAGCCCGCGGGGATGGCGCACAGCGCGTGGCGGAGCGGCGACATCCCGCAGCGGGGACGGCCGCACACTGGGGTAGGATGGCCCCCCTCCCCTGCGTCCCCGCAGCCCCCAGCAGCGCACGACTCCACAGCACGCCGCCAGTGCCAATTCTCCTTTATTGCCCTCTCAGCCACAGAACCCGCGGCTACATCCCAAGCCCGCCCTGTCCCCTCCCGCCCCGTTCCTCCCCCGACACCGGTGTCCCTGGCTGTCCCCAGAGCCAGCGAGGCACGGGACAGCTCCCAGCCCAGGCCTGGCAGAGGTCCGGTGCCCAGAATAACCGCGGGAGCGGAAACCAGAGGGCGGCTATTCCCAGGAACGCTGTCACTGGGTCCCCGTGCTCCAGCTGCGGTTTGGTGGCAGTGGGCAGGAGCTGTGCCCTTGGGCGAGGAGCAGGACTCAGCCTCCCAGTGAAACGTCGCAGCGCTGGGTCACAGCACAGGACCGCGCACCCGCTGTCCCCAACCCGCAGCGATCCCAGGCAGACCACAGGCGTGCCAGGAACCTGCGGGGGACAGGGGCACCTCCTCCTCCTCACGGTGCCTCCACTCGAGTCTGTGAAATAAGGGGATGGCAGCAACGTGCAGCCCTGTCCTGAGCACCCTGCTACCCATCCAGCAGCTTGAGGATGCTCTCCCGCTCCTTCAGCGTCTTCCACGCCTGATCCTTCTCCTTCTTGGTGGGAGTGCGCTTCTTCTGCCGGGCAGCCATGATCTTGCGGAAGGCGTCCATCACCTCGTTGTCGGCCATGCGGACACGCTGCCGCAGCTCTTGCCGGTGCAGCTCCTCCTTGGCCAACCTGGGGACAGAGGACATCATTTCATGCCTCCGGCACTGCACCTGGCCCCGTGCCCTGCCCACACTCACCGCAGCAGCTCGTGCTTCTTGGCGCGGTTGTGGGCGCTGAGTGCCTTCAGCTCTGCCTGCCTCTTACGCAACTCGGCCAGGACCTCATCCTCTGAGTCCTCGGCAGGACGGTCCTCTGACTCCAGCAGGCCCTGGGCCACCAGCTCCTCCTTGATCCGCCCCTCCAGTGACTTGGTGTGGGGCACGCTGAGAGGGGCGGAGTGGATGCTTTCTGAAGCGCCCACGTTCTGCCCCAATTTGGGCAGAGGAAGCGCCAATTTGGGCAGCACCGAGCTTCGTGGCACCACAGCAGCTCACCTGAAGGGCTTGTTCTGGCTGCGGGGAGAAGTGCCAGCACCGTCGGCTCCTGAGTCCTTGCCAGCAATCTCAGGAATGGGCGAATCCTCCACAGGGGAGATGATGTTTTCCTGGCAAGCAGAGCATGTGGGAAAGGTTCACCTCGCCCTGATGCAGTGACATTGCCTCACAGGGCCATTGCACAGACCTGGCCCCCTCACCTCCACCAGGGCCTGCAGGAGACGCTGTGTCAGGGGCCCAAAGGGACACCCATCCTCAGGCTGCTCATGCTGGGCCTCTGATTTCTTCAGCAAGGCATCGACATCTGGGGGGATGCGGGAGGGAGAAAGTTGTGAGTAGCCCTGGTTCTGTGGGAACTGGATGCCAGACCCCTGATCTCACCCCACAGCTTCAGTGCAGTCCATTACTGCTAGGGAATGGGACAACACCTTTGGTGTCCAGCTCAGTCAGTGGCCCCAGAACCCCCTTCTTTTTGTCAGCTGCAGCTGCTGCCCGGGCACCATCCTTCTGCTCCTCTAGCAGGTCCTCCTGAGCCCAGCGCTGTGAGTAGTGCTTCCCCAGTGGTGGGATCTGCAGCACAGGATGGGCCAGGGGCTCAGCACGGGACTGGGGTTGCACTTAGTTGCATCACCCCAGAGGCCATATGCAATGTTCACAGAGAGGTGTGACCACTCAGCTTGCCCAAGAGCTGAGGGGTGGACAGTGCAAAGTAGGGTATGGGGTGAGGGAGCATGGGTTGGGGGCTATGCAGTTTGTCACCTTGTAGTGCTCAGCCTCATCCTCTGGTGGCTTGAGCAGCTCCTCCAGGACCCTGACCTCCTCGTTGGTGAGATCGGCGCAGTACGGCTCCACTGACGCCCAGAACCTGAGAGGCCAGAGCAGGGGAATAATGGTGAGGGGGGATGTGGGGGGCACTATGGGAGCAGCTCATGCCCTCCCGCACTGCAAGGAAGGAAACAGCCAATCCCAATGCCCCCCAACTCCCCATGCACCTGTTCGGAGCATCGTTTTTAGGAATCCGTGGCACATCAATGGGATCATCCTGGAACTCGTACTCCTGGATCTTGGGCTGCAGGTTTTTGGACTTAGGTCTACCAGGCCCAGGCCCCGTCCCGTGGCCCCCTTTGCCCTCCAGCTTCTGCTTCTTGGGCTTGCCGTGCTTGACAGAGGTGCCCACATCGTGGTCCTTGCTCAGCTTCAGGAAACGCCGGTCGCCCTTCTTGTCCTGCCAGTCCGTCAGGATCTGGAAAAGAGCAACAGTGTGTCGGGGCCCGTGTGCAGGACGGTGACAGGGACGTGGGGGTCGCGGACACGGGCAACACACCTGTGTCTCGGCCTCCAGCACACGGAGGCGGCGGCTGGCGGAGGAGAGCAGCGTCTCCAGCTCCAGCTGCAGCGTGTCCAGCTCCTCGATGCCGATGCCATCGTCCTCGGAGCGGGCCAGCACGGCCGTGTACCGCGGGCACACCTTCACGTGGTCCACCGACTTGAAGTCGTGGAACTGCAACGGGCAGTCCTTCAGCTCGCTCATGGCGGCACCGGGGGGAAACCGGAGAGCGAAGGGAGCGGGGCCCGGGGGCTCAGGGGGCGGGCCGGAGGGCTCGGCGGGCCGTGCGGCGCGGCGGGGGGCGGGCGGAGCCCAGCGGGGGGCAGGCCCGGGGCGCGGCGCCGGGGGGGGCCGAGCTCCACATACGGCCGCTCGCCAACTTCCGGCCCCCGCAGGCCGCGCGCCGCTTCGCCCCGCCCCGTGCTCCCCATTGGCTCAGCCCCGCCCGGCGCACGCCGCCCATTGGCTCGGCCGGCTCTCCTTCTTCCTTTCCTAATATGGAAGCGCTGACAGGAGCGCACCAAGACCGGCGAGATCACGGGGGGGTCTCGCGGGATTACGCTGTCGCCGCGAGGCGCCGCCTCCGCGCTCCTTGACGGGCTGCACTGCCGTGCGCCGCGTAGCGCCCAGAGCGTTCGGTGCGGCGCGGAGGGGCCTTGAGGCGGCCGAGCGGGAGCGGGGCGCGGAGCCAGAACCTCCCGCCTCCTCCCACCTGCCGGGTTGGGGATTCCCGCGCATCCCGGAAGAGAGGACCGGCCACTTCCGGTTCCGCTTCCCCGGACCGGACCGGAGCCGTCACCATGGTGGGGCGCGGGCGGGAATGGGCTGGGAATGGGCTGAGGGAAGCGGGCAGGGCTGGGCTGGGGCTGGGAGAGAAGGAGCTGGGCGGGAGTGGGGATGGGCATGGGGGTAGGGAGTAGGGATGGGGATAGGGAGTAGGGGTAGGGATGGGAGTAGGGGTAGGGATGGGAGTAGGGGTAGGGATGGGCATGGTTATGGGGATAGGGGTAGGGGTGGGGGTAGAAGTAGGGATGGGGTGGATATGGGGATGGGCCCAGGCGCTGACGCTGTGCTGTGCCCCACAGACCGCCACGCTGCGCCCATACCTGAACGCGGTGCGTGCCACGCTGCAGGCCGCCCTGTGCCTGGAGAACTTCTCCTCACAAGTAGTGGAGCGCCACAACAAACCTGAGGTGGAGGTCAGGTAGGGTTCCTGCCAGCCCCCCCAGCCGCATCCACAGACCCAGTGGTGGAGGAGTGTTCCCTGCCCCAGCTCCATGCCCCGGAGCTGCCCTGCAGTCCCCATCCTTCACCCCGTGCACTGCAGCCACTGCTGCCCGCCGGGTGCTGGGGGAGCTGCAGAGCAGGAGGGGGATCCTGATGTGGGAGTGAAGGAAACGCTCTGCATCTCCGGGATCCTTGCAGTGCTCATGCCAGCGAACTCTGAGCCATGAGTGCTTCCCTACTGATCAGTTGTGACCTTTTCTTGCTCCCACAGGAGCAGCAAGGAGCTCCTGTTGCAGCCAGTGATCATTAGCAGGAACGAGAAGGAGAAGGTGCTCATTGAGGGCTCCATCAACTCTGTGCGTGTCAGCATCGCTGTCAAACAGGTGTGGGGCCGAAGTGGCTGGGGAGGGGTGGTGGGCTGGCAGCTTGCGCTCCTGTGGGGAAGCCTAATTTCCCTTTCCTCTCTGCAGGCCGATGAGATCGAGAAGATCCTGTGCCACAAATTCATGCGCTTCATGATGATGAGGGCTGAGAACTTTTTCATCCTTCGCAGGAAGCCTGTGGAGGTGAGGGGGTGGCAGCAGAGCAGCTCCCAGCTCTGCTTCCTTGGGCCTGCACTGCAGATCTGGGCTGCGCTGTCACTGTGCTGTGCTCTCATAGCTGTCATACTGCTCCTCTCTTCCTCAGGGCTACGACATCAGCTTCCTAATCACTAACTTCCACACGGAGCAGATGTACAAGCACAAGCTTGTGGATTTCGTGATCCATTTCATGGAGGAGATCGACAAGGAGATCAGTGAGATGAAGCTCTCTGTCAATGCCAGGGCCCGCATCGTGGCAGAGGAATTTCTCAAGAACGTAAGGCTCTGTGAATGTTCCTTCTCTTAGCAGTGGAGCACGGCCCTCAGAGACAGAAGCCTCCCCCACATGGCTGGGGGGTGGCAGAGCTTTGGTGCAGTTTGTACCCATCCTGGGACATGTGGGGGAGTGCCTGTAAGCATTTTCCACTGGTGTTGAGACCCTTCAAGTGGGCTGAGGGTGGGCAGAGCCGGGAGATGTAGCGTGGGACGTTCCAGTGCTGATGGGCACCTGCCCTCTGTCTTGCCTTGCAGTTCTAGGCCGTGCCGTGACTCCGTGGCTTCCCGGTGCCTGTGCAGAGCCGCATGCCGGGGCTCTCCTGCTCTGGAGAAGGAAAGCTGGGCCCCTGGCTGCAAACCCGTCTCCTCGCTGGCCGGGGCGGGGGCGGACCGGGCTTGTGCGCACGCGGGGCCAGGCGGCCCCCCTCCCTGTCCTGTCGCATTGTGTTTTATAAAGAGTTACTTGCTGTACGCCCCGGCTCCCTGCTGTATTGCTGGGGGAGGGAAGGGGAGGGAATGCCGGGGGGCGGGGATTTAGGGCAGAAGGGGGCGGGGCCCGGAGCGGCACCACGGCAACAGTAAACAGTGGGGGCAGCCCCGCCGGTGCTGGAAGGAGTGGGTGTGGGCCGGGTGGGTGCTGGGCAGGATGGAGCACAGAGCGGCCTGCGGGAAGCGATTGGGGGTGGCGCAGGTTCAGGTGATGGGGGAGTAGCTGGTGTGGGACCACAGGAGAGGATGTAGGGCTTAGGGCTGCTGGAAGCCCCCTGCATCCCCGTTGGGTGAGGACACAGTGCAGGAGGATCCCCTGCGCTGCACGGAGAGAGGCAGAGTTGCTAGCAGCCTCCCTCACCCCCAGGTTGCCCCATACTCACCCACTCGAGAGCAGGACCGTGGGCACACACAGCCTGGTGAGGGGAGTTCCTGGGGGGAACGCTGCGAGGCTGTGGTGCTGGCATGAAGATTGACAAGGTGGCAAATGCTGCGGCAGGGGCACCTGGCAAGGTGCAGAGAGTGCGGGCAGGTGGGTGCCTGCTCCCTGCCCTTCAGGAACAAGGAACATGAGGGTGTATGCTGTCTGAAAGGAGCTCATCTGAGGCTGTCCCACGGGCCTCTGGACTCTTGCAGACTGCAGCCGCCCCTGGCTCTGCCCCAGGCAGCTGAAGCTGGCCAAGCTGCAGGTGGAGAGGGCTATCAAGGTGAGGGCCTGCTCCTTCTCCAGAGCGTCACCCATTTTCAACTGGCACAAAGGCTGAGCTCCCCAGGGTGGGCAGCTTAGCCACGGCATCTCCCCACCCAGGAGAAGAAGATCTTCACGGTGCAGGGCCGCTACCCTGTGATCCGCCACCTGCTGCGCGCACGGGGCTGGGTGGAGAGAAAAGCACACCGCAGGGTGCAGCAGCAAGAGGCAGATGGCGGCAATGCCGAGCTCAGCACAGAACAGCGTGGGGTGCAGCCATCCCTGGAGTCCCCGTGCTCCATGTGGCTGCCCAACGAGGAGGAGGAGGAAGAGGAGGAGGAGGAGGAAGAGCAGACGGACAAAGACAACCCTGATGGCATCCATGAGCTCATGGTAGCAAGGAAGGCTGCAGACCCCAACATGATGCAGGGGGATCCCTCAGTGGGGTAGGGGTGACGATGTGGGGTGGGGTCCCACCTCACTCAGGCCCTTGCCCCCCCAGTCCCGCCTGGTGCAGGACCAGGTGCCTTACTTCATCTGGAGCAGCCGCTGCAGTGCTGCAGAGAGAGGCATCCTGCGGCCGGACCAGGTGGTGAACCACTATGCCCGAGGGGGCTGCCTTACCACCAAGGTGGGGGCACAGGGACCTTCCCTGGGGGGGCACAGGGTGCACGCCAGGGCTGCCATCCTTCTCCACACAGGAGGGGCTGTGCCTCACCCTGCGCAACCTGCCCTGGTTCGACCAAGCCGACCCCGATACCTTCTTCCCTCGCTGCTACCGGCTGGGTGCTGCGGACGAGCGCCAGGCCTTCATTGGTGAGCTTGGGGCCGATGTGGGATGGGCTCACAGTTCTTACATCCCTAGCGTGGCTTTGGGCTGGGCAATGCCTCTTCTCTTACTGCAGAGGATTTCCGCCTCACTGCTGCACGCTGCCTGCTCAAAGCGGCCCTGGGAAGGGCTGAGGGTGAGCATATAGCACTGGAGCCATCCCCAAAACCCAGTGATGCTCCAGGTGAGGTGCTGAGCCCCCACCCCAGGCATGGCGCAGTGCTCCATCCCTCACTCTGTGCTACCCTCCTAGCAGAGGGGCCGGCCCCGCCATTGCCCCCACAGCTGATGGAGGAGGCGCTGCGGGTGTGCAGGGGGCACCTGGACAGCATGGCCCACCAGGACATCGACGGGGACACACAGCCCCACAGCCCCAACTGGGACAGCTTCCTGCAGGGCTACTACCGCGTGGTGCAGTGAGTGCCGGCAGAGGGGTGGGGAAGGGTGGAAAGGCAGTGGCTGAGCCACCCCATATCTCAGCGAGGGGGCCGTGCTGCAGCTGAGCACGGCACAGCAGGAACAGGGCCGCAGCCTGCTACAGGGCCTGGCGAAGCAGCTGCCCCAACTGCACATGGAGGGCGAGCGCAACGTCTGGATCCTCAAACCCGGGGCTGCGTCCCGGGGCAGAGGTAGGACCAGGGGTGGTCCGGGGGTCCCCACGCGCCACGGGGTCCCTACGGTGCTGCCACATCCGCAGGCATCGTGTGCATGGCACGGCTGGACCAGTTGCTGCAGCTGGCGGGCAGCATGGGGCGGGAGGGCCGCTGGGTGGTGCAGAAATACGTGGAGCGGCCGCTGCTCATCTTCGGCACCAAGTTCGACGTGCGGCAGTGGTTCCTGGTGACCGACTGGAACCCGCTGACCATCTGGTTCTACCGCGAGTGCTACCTGCGCTTCTGCTCACAGCCATTCTCCCTGCACTGCTTGGATGCGTGAGTGCAGTTCTGTGCTCTGTATGTCCCTCCCTCCCCCTGCTCTCTCACAGACGTCAATTCCCACCCCGGCCCATCACCGTGCCCATAGCCACGTCCCTCAGTGCCACACATAAGCAATCCTTGATCACCTCCAAGGATGACGACCCACTGCTTCCTGGGCAGCCTGTACCAATGCCTCACTGCTCATTCTGCCACAGAATTTTTCCTAATACCCAACTGAAGGCTGCTTCCTCTCCCCCCTCAGGGCCGTCCACCTCTGCAACCAAGCAGTGCAGCGGCACTGCCGCCCAGGGCTGTCCCGACACCCGCAGCTGCCAGCAGACAACACGTGGTCGTGCCGCCAGCTGCAGGCGTACCTGGCGCAGCGGGGCCAAGCCGGTGCCTGGGCCGAGGTGATGGTGCCGGGTATGAAGGCGGCGGTGGTGCGGGCGGTGCGGTGCTCGCAGGGTTTGGTGCGGGGCCGTAAGGGCAGCTTTGAACTCTATGGGGCTGATTTCATTTTCGGCGAGGATTTCCGACCCTGGCTGCTGGAGATCAACGCCAGCCCCACCATGGAGGCCAGCACGGCGGTGACGAGCCGGCTGTGTGCCGGGGTGCAGCGTGACACACTGAGAGTTGTCATCGACCGCCGGGACGACCCCGAGTGCCCCACAGGAGCCTTTGAGCTCATCTACAAGCAGGTGGGGCGGGGAGCTGAGGGGGGAGAGGGGGTTGTGGGGAAGATGGCACAGCCCTGTGCTCCCCACATCCCCCCCCCTACAGGCAGCCGTGCCCACCGTGCACTACGTGGGGCTGAAGCTGGAGGTGGAAGGCAGCTCCCTGCGCAGACCACGCCGCCCTCGCTGCTCCCTGGCTGCAGCAGAGGACAGGCCTCCCCCGTATGCTGCGGAGATGCGGCCAAGGCAGCCCCCAGGGAGTCTGCCCCGACTCAGAGGGCTGAGGATCCATTCCCATGTGCCCATCACACCCCACCAGGGAGCTCTCCCCCACTTCAGCCCCCTGCCCCTGTTGCAGAGCACTCGGCCCCATGGCGCGGAGGAGGGACGGAGGGCTCAGAGGGGAGCAAAGAGGAGTGGTGATGGCCCAGTATGCCCCCACCCCTTTTGGCAGAAATAAATCTGTGAGTGGCAGTGAGCTGTGAGCCTTCACACTGGGAAAGCTTTGGGAGGGACATGTTGTCAGCCCCCCCCCCCCCGCCTGAAATGACAGGGCTGTGGGCAGGAGCTGGGGCCACCAGAGACTCCCCCAACATCCGCTCCAGATGGGAACTGGGTCGCGGGGTAGGAGAAGGCTGTGGTTACCAGTGCTGACTCAACCCCCGGGGAGATTACACAGGAAAGATGGGGGGAGCGCAAATGGGATAGATAAATGTTGTTTGTTGTCATGCCGAGATTTAATGGGGAGGGAGAGGCGGGGAGGGCAGCCCCAGCAGGCGTAGGGTGCACAGGAAGTGGGGAGGAGGGGGAGCACTCAGCACTTTGTGGGGCAGCACCAGCTGCTGCAGATGGAGGTGCAGGGGCAGGCGGTGATGTGGGGACAGCTGCAGCCGGGACATCAGCTCTGCATCCAGCACCTGTGGGGGATAATTTTTTTTAGGAAAGCGCAGCATAGGGTAGCAGTTCCCTTCCATCGCGCTGCTTACCTGTGTGCGGGATGTGGGGGCCTCCTGGGGGGGCAGCAGGAAAGGCTCCCCCAGCACTGTGCCCACACGGGATGCGTACTTGTGGTCACCCAGTGCCGGGCACAGCAGCAGCGTCAGGTGCACCTGGAGCTGCTCGGGGAAAGCTGCAGGGAGGGAAGGACGTGGGGTTGGTGGCACTGTGGGGTGGTGGTACCAGGGCAGTGCAGGGGGGGCACTCACCTGTACGAGGCTGCAACTGGAGCAAAGCGCAGCCCCCTGCTGCTCCCAGCAGGCGGTAGCGGGTCAGGGTGCTCTTCACCTCTCTGCGGGTCACGCTGCGGTGTCCTGGAGGTGGCACTGCCACCACCTGGGGGGGGATGCACAGCTTCAGCACCACCCTCTACCCCCCACTCCTCCCAGATTCCCCCACGTGCCCCTTACCACAGCTGTGTCCCCTTTCTGCTGCCAGCACAGCCCCACACGGATCTCACCCTCTGCCTCTGCTGGGACCCCCACAGTGACAGCGCTGAAGGGACACAATAAGAGGGAAGAGCCTCACACTTTTGGAGAGGGAGATTCATGGGGGGACACTCACCTGTAGGTGACTGGGAACTGCCCCCTGCGTCGGGCAGCAGTGAAGGAGTGCTGCAGCTGCTCAGTGACACGGTGGCAGGTGGACAGCAGCACAAGGCCGGAACATTCCCTATTGGACACGGTATCAATGAGCCCCCCTGGGACCTCCCCATTCCAAGTCCCAGACCCATCCCAATACCTGGCAGGTGCTTTCACCACATGCAGCTCTGCAGGCAGCCCCAGGCGTCGGCGTAGTGCAGGCAGCAGCGCGGTCAGGCTCAGCTCCCCAGGGTGCCCTGGAGGTATGGGGGTCAGCACCAGATGTGCCTCCTCTTGGAGAAATCAGCCCCCCCAGCACTCACCCAGCACAGGCAGATCAGTGGGCTTGTTTAGAGCCAGCAGGGCTCCTGTGGGGTGACAGAAGGGTCAGACCCCACTCTTGATCACCCAACACCCACCCGTGTCCAGCCTCCCTCTCCTCCCTTACCTTCCCGATATACAACTGAGGCCTCCAGTAGCCCCAGCACGGCCTCAGGGCCCAGTGGTCGCCCCTTCCTGCGGGGAGAATGAGATGGGGCACACGTGAGACTCCCCTGCCTCCTCCCACGCTCCATGTCCCCACGCGTGTGCAACTCCACGTGTCCCCCATGCCTCCGAACCTGTTCCCAAGCAGCCCACGACTCCCGTGCACCTACATCAGCGCACCCACTCGTGTCACACCGTGTCATCTCCGCAGCCCCGTGCACACACAGCAGTGCACACACACAGCAGTGCACACACACAGCAGTGCACACACAGCAGCACTCCACGCTCGCCCTCCCCCCCCCAGCTCACCTCGCGGAGCGCGCCCCCTGCCCCACGCGCGCCGCCACGCGCGCGGCACCGCCGCAACTCGCCATGGCCGCACTGCGCCTGCGCGGCGGGCGGACCGCAGGGCGTAGCGTCCCGCTTTGACCATAGAGCTGGGCCTCCGGGCGTATAGACCGGCCGCCCTCCTGAGGCCGTTTGGGCTTGAAGCGGCGGTCACAGAGAACCGGAAGTGCGGGTAGAGCGTCTCAGCCCGGTGAGCAGGTGGGGTGCGGCGGGGCGCGGTGCCCGCGGCGAGGTGCGGAGGGCGGGCCCGGGGACCGTGGCAGGCCGGGGGGTACCGCGCCCTGCGGTGTCCCTGCGGCTGTCGTGGGTGGGTGGTCACGGGAAGGTGGGATGGAGGCCATAGGGGTCCTCCCTGGGGTCTCCTCACTCTGTGTCCCTGCAGGCAGCTATGGCGTCTCGAGGTGGGCCCCGTGCTGCCGGCACTGATGGCAGCGACTACCGGCACCGGGAGCGCGTGGCTTCGCACTACCAGATGAGGTAGGTGTCACGGAGCCTCTGCTCCCCAAACTGCGGGGCTGTGCCCTCATCGGGGCCCTGACAGGGTGATGCCCCTCCAGGCCACGTGCCCATCACGTCCTTGACAAATCCGTGTCGATGCTGGGCCGTGATGGGGCTGTGACCCCACCAGGCTGTGACAGAGCCGTGTCCCAGCTGTGCTGTGACCGTGCTGTGTCCCCACAGCGTGGCCCTGAAGTCAGAGATCAAGAAACTGACCTACGTGCACGTGGGGCTGTGGCTGCTGCTGCTGGCACAGATGTGTGTGGGGCACCTCAAGCTGCTGCCCCACGATCGTGTGGCCATGCCCTACCAGTGGGAGTACCCCTACCTGCTCAGCATCCTGCCCTCACTGCTGGGCCTGCTCTCCTTCCCCCGCAACAACATCAGCTACCTGGTGCTGTCCATGATCAGTGCCGGGCTCTTCTCTGTGGCGCCGCTCATCTACGGGGCCATGGAGATGTTCCCTATGGCTCAGCAGCTCTATCGGCACGGCAAGGCGTACCGCTTCATCTTCGGCTTCTCTGCCGTCTCCGTCATGTACCTGGTGGTGGTGGTGGCCGCCCAGGTGCACGGCTGGCAGCTCTACTACAGCAAGAAGCTTCTGGACTCGTGGTTCACCAGCACGCAGGAGAAGAAGAAGAAATGAGGGGGGTTGGGTAGAGGCTCTGTGTGCCACGCGTGGAGCGTTTGGGGGCTGCTGGTGGTGCTGCAGGGCGGCTGCTGCGGGTACGGAGGTCTTCGGGGCTGAGCCCGGTGCTGGGACTGCGATCGCGTGTCACCGTACGGAAATAAAGCCCCTCCCGTGCTTTCCCACTCGTGTCTGCGCCGCCGCAATCAGGTCGCGGGCGGGGCCGCACGTGTTGCCGGAGGAATGCGGCGGGGCCGGCCCGGGGCGGGGAGCCGACACCAGAGGTGGGAACGGAGCTCGGCTACGGCACTCGGCCATGGGCTGCCCGGTGCGCTCCGTCGCTCTCCTCGCCGCCGCCGCGTTGTTGCTGCTGCCGCCGCCCTCCCGTCCTGCCGTGCCCCGCCCGCGGGTTTCCGCCAACTTCGTGAGCGCCGGGGCAATGGGAACGGGGAAAAGGGAACAGGGAGTGGGGGTGGCGGACGGGGCCGCGCTGATCCCCGTCTCTTTGCTTGCAGGACTGCCGGGCCAACGGTGAGTGGGGCCGCGGGGCTGTGCTCCCGGTGTGCGGGGCGGCGGCGGCGGGGCGGGCCAGGGTGGGGGCTCTCCGGTGGGGCCGAGATCGGAGCCGGACTTGGAGCGGAGCGATGCGGGGCGGTTCCCGGTGCGCGGGGTTCCCCCTTGTAAGGGATCTCTGTGTGTGGGGATCTCCCTCGCCGGGCCATTCCGGTGCGCGGGGATCCCTTTTGCGAGGACTCTCCCGGTGCGAGGCATGGCCCCGTGCACGGCTCCTCTCCTCTCCCGGCAGCCGACAGCACGCTGACCCGGCCCCGTTGCCGCCGGGGAGACCCCACCGGGCCCCCGCTGACCCCGCCCGCCCTGGCGCTGAGCACGGCGCGGCTGTGCCAGCCCTCGCTGCCCTGCCAGCCCTGCCTGCGGGTGCGTCTGGCCGTCCCGGCCGCAGGTACGGGCTGTTCTCAGGGATGGGCCCTCCTTGTCCTCTGGGGGAACCCTGGCAGGGGACACCCCGGCCGCGGGATCGTCCCACCCGTGTCAGCAGCAACCGTTGGCATCCTGCAGGAATCCACGGGCTGCAGCTTGACTTCCTGGAGCTGGGCTCTAACCGGGTTGGGTGGCTGCAGGTGTGGCAGCGGCACCAGGCACCAGGCGATGTGCCGGTGAGTGCGGGGCACGCCGCAGGGATGGGGATGGGCGGTGGGGCTGTGCTCACCCTCTGCTCCCCATAGTGGCAGGTTCAGTTCGACTGCTTCCCAGCGGAAAGTGGGCGGCGGGTCCTGGTGACCCTGCATACCATCCCTGACAGAGGCCTGGCCATCAGCCGCAGCCACGTGGTTGCCATCGAGCTGCAGGGTAAGGCTGGAAGGGAATGGGGTGCTTGTAAGGGTTGGCACTGACTGACCCTCCCTGTGCTCCCAGGGCCCGTCTTCACCCACACCTGGCTCCCTGAAGTGCGGGCCATCGAGGTGGCTGTGCCCGAGGGCCCTGCGCTGGTGGTGCGGCTGTGCCATCAGCTGGCCTTGGAGTGTGAGGAACTGCCACAGCCCTTCCACCGCCAGGTAGCAGCCAGCAGGATGCGGTCCCCGGGGGTCCCTGCACTCCCAGCATCCTCACATTCCCTCTGTGCCTGCAGCTCCTGGTGCCGGGCGGCCACCACGTCTCACTGCCGTATGAATTCCTGGTGCCCTGCCTTTGTGTTGAGGTGTGATCCCCATTGCACCCCTGTGTGTGCTGATCCGCACAGCGATGGGACGCGGGTGGCAGACACATGGTGCTGTGCTCTGCTCCCCAGGCCTCCTATCCACACCGTGACAGCCTGCGCAGCAAGCGCTGCCCCTTCCGTGAGCGGCCGGATGCCTGTGAGTGCCTGAAGGGACCCTGGGGAGGGCACACTGTCTCCTGGCCACCCTACTGATCTTATCCCCACAGATGGCCCTGACCTATGGTCCTCAGTGCACTTCCATGACTACAGCAGCAAGGACCAGATGGCCATGGTGCTGAGTGCCAGCTGTCCCCTGCGTCCCCGGGCCACCCTGTGCTGGAGGGAGGCGGCAGCTGAAGCTGCACCGTGCCACAGTGTCCCCAACTCCACGGCAAGTGAGGAGGATCAGGTGAGGGGACATGGCTGCAGGGCACCACTGGACCCCAGGATGTCCAAGGGTGCAGTGCATCCCTGGGGACAGATGGTGACACTCTCGCTGTCCCTTGCCAGGCGTACACACTGGACAGTGTGGATGTGCACCCCCTGCTCTGCTTCAGGGTAAGCCCCCGGGGCGGTACCGGCTGGGAAGGTGCCAGACAGGGTGCACAGGTGACCCCATGTCCCCTCCTCAGTTCTCCTATGGGAACAGCAGCCACGTGGAGTGCCCCCACCGCACAGGTGAGCCCTTGGGTTTGGGATGTTGTCTCTTCCCCCTCAGGCACCCCATCATGCTACGGTGTGTGTTCTCTCTTTACCAGACACTGCTTGGAACGTGTCCCTGAGTGCCAGGGGACTGCAGCTCCACCTGTGCCTCACCTCCCGTGTCCCTGCGTCCTTCAGCGCAGCGCTGTGCCAGCGCCGGGGCGGGCGCTGTGAGCCTGAGGCTCCCGTCTACACCGTCACGCGGGTGAGTGATGTAGGACAGGGGAGCTCAGGGGGGCAAGCTTTGCCACGCTGACCCTGCCTCGTGTTTTGCAGCCAGAGAGCTCTGCTCCAGGGGAGCTGGCGCTGCTGCTGCCGGTGCAGATCCTGGGCAGCTGCGTGTTGGTAAGGTGACTCCCAGCCCCGCTGTGCTGCCTGCATCAGGGTGGGGGGGCCAAACCCCAAATCCTGCCCCCCTCATCCATCTCCCCACCCAGGTCTGGCGCTCAGATGTGCGCTTCGCCCGCAAGCAGCTGCTCTGTCCTGATGGTGAGCGGAGCCCCAGGGCTGGTGGGGATCGGGCAGTGTGTCATGGCTGCCCGCTCACTGCACCTCTCCCAGTCTCACACAGGCACTTTGGGCTGCTGGGGCTGGCGCTGGCCCTGGGGCTGGTGGTGACCGTGCTGCTCCTGAACTGCCGCAGCACCTGGAGGATGCCTAACGGTGAGAGCCAGCGGTTTGGGCAAGGGCCGGGGCACCCCAAGGGCTGGGACACTCCAGGCACGGGGAAGGTCCCGGGGCGGTGGGACGCTGCAGTTCCACTGAGGTTGCTCAGAGCAGGGCTGTCACTGCTGTCCCCTCTGTCCTGCAGGTGAGGCAGCACGTGGCCGCCCGGTGCTGCTGCTGTACTCTCCTGATTCGGAGGAGCACCTGGCACTGGTGTGCGCCCTGGCCGAGCTGCTGCGCGTGGGGCTGGGCTGCGAGGTGCGCCTGGACCTGTGGGAAGCGGGCGGTGTGGGGCAGGCGGGGGCCCTGCCCTGGCTCTATGCTCAGCGCAGCCACGTGGGCCGCGAGCGAGGCACCGTCCTGCTGCTCTGGAGCCGGGGCAGCTCTCGGCTCTTCCGTTTATGGCGAGGGGGTGAAGGCGGTGGGGAGCCCCGCGACGCACACGATGTCTTCGGGGCGGCCATGGCGTGCTTGCAGGGCGAGCTGGGGGCGGCGGGGCGAGGCCGGGGCTGGGTGCTGGTGTACTTCAGCCGGCTCTGCAGCCCCCGCGACGTGCCGCGGCCCCTGCGGCCCCTGCCCACCTACCGCCTGCCCCAGGAGCTGCCCGGTCTGCTGGGCGCGCTGCGGGGCGGCTCCCCGCCCTCCTGCCGGCACCTCCGCGGCCGGGCCGAGGGGCTGCTGCTCCGGCTGCTGGAGGCTGAGGCCGGCAAGGGGGCGGCGGGAGGCGGCTCCGGGGGGGGGGCGGGCTCCCCGCTTCAGCCTGCCGGTACCTGAGCGTCTGCAGCGGGGCTGAGCTCGGGCAGAGCGTGGGCAGGGGCCACACGGAGGACGGAGGCACTCGATGCAGTCGGGCTGAACGAGCGGCTGCAGGAGAGCGACCCGGAGCGGAACGGAGCGGGGCTGGAGTACGGGCACAGCCCTGGGGCTGGGCAGCCGGGCTTCCGGCAGGGCCTGCTACGGAGGAGAGAGCGGGCCTCGCACGGGGCGGCCACGGCTGGGAGAGGCGGCTGGGCAGCTCCTGTGACGGCGGGGTGTCCGGCACGGCCCAGACGGGCTCCTCGCGCCTGGTTGTGGCTGCGTCGAATGGAATAAAAGCGCTGTTTACGTTTCCCCGCGTCTCTTGCTCTGGTGCTTTGGGGCTGCCGGCCCGGTGCGCTCACCCCTGGGCGGGACCCGGCAGCGCCCGTCGGGGGCAAACTGGGCCGCGCCGCTCCACGCGACCGCAGGAGCCCGGCCTGCGGGATCCGTGCGGGGCAGAGCGGGGCAGGCCCCACCCCGGGGCGGTCCCGGGAGCTCGGGAGCGGAGCAGGAAGCGGGAGTCAGCGGTGGTGGCGGCGGCGGGGACCGTGGGCTGGGAGCGGGGCCGTGGGGCCGGGGCCATGGGGTGCCCCGGCCCCACCGGGCGCGCCCCGGGGCGGCTGCTGCTGCTGCTGCTGCTGGCGGCGGGCGTGCGCGGGGCTCCCCGCGACGCCGTGATCTGCTCGCAGGTGTGTCGGCGTAGCGGGGGCAGCGGGGCCGCGGGGCCGGGCCGCGTCCTCACGCCTCCTGCCCGCAGGGCCTCGCCTGCCGCCTGCTCGGTAAGTGCCCGCGCCGCGGCCGCGCTGCCGGGCGGAGGGGAGCGGCGCTGACTCGGACCCGCTCTGCCCCCGCAGACGCCGACGTGCTGTGCGGGACGGAGCCCGCGGCGCCGGGCCCGGGGCTGGCGCTGCTGGGTCTGCGGCTGGAGCCGGCGCTGCGCTGCGCGGAGCCGGGCGGCTGCTCGCCGTGTCTGCGGGCACGGCTGCGCCTGGGCCTCGAGCCCGAGGACGGTGCCGGTGACGCGGGGACGGCCGCCTCGCCCCGGCGCGACGTCGCGGCGCTGCTGCTGCTCTCCGCTCACGGGTTCGCCTCGTCCCGCTGCGTGGCCGTGGAGGTCCGCGCATCCTCCGCTCTGCCCGGCCGGCCCCTGGTACGTCTGCGCCGCGGTCGGGCGGGGGGGCGGGCCGGGGCCGTGGCACGTGGGATGTGGGCACGGCGCTGTGGTTTTCCTGCGCAGGGCTCGGTGCGGTTCCGCTGCTTCGAGGCACCGCTGGGCTCGGAGCTGCACGTCGCCGCCTACGG